AGGAGCTCTGGTAGCATAGTGGCTAAGGCACTTGACTGCTAACCAGAAGGCTGGCGGTTCAAACCCACCAGCCACTCCTCGGAAGGAAGGCTGGGCATTCCTACTTCCGTAGTGATACTGCCTCGGAAACCCAAGGAGGGGTCGCTATGAGTCGGTGCCGACTCGATGGCAAACAACAACAACAACAGGGGTAGTCTGGAGAGATGGAAGACCAGATAAATGTTTTTATTCTAAGATTTAATTCAGATCAGAACAAAAACGGTGTAACTTTTATATCCAGTCAAATCAGAGGGAAAAAATCAGAGATGTACTATATAGTGCTAGGTAAAAGCTGTATGTACATCATGCATGCATGTATGAAACCGAATGAAAAGCATTAAGCAGCGGAAATGACGCATGCTTGATTTTTTCTCAATCTATAGTTTCCATATTTGTGAAATAAAAGCAAGTGATCTTCCTTAACCTTAACTGAAAGTAATTATGACTACAGAGAGGAAGTGGGAAGAGAGCTGTTATATTTTGTGGAATAGCAGTCAATGTCATGAAACAAAATTTTCACGAACTGCAGTACAGAAAAATGAATTTGCTCTGTAAACTTTTACCCAAATCACAATAAAAATTAAATTTAAAAAAAGTAATTATGATACCTTTTCTGAAAAGTAAGTGGCTTTGTCCTCACTGAGACCTGTAAAAAACAGAAGGCACATTAACATAATAAAGAGCTGCAGAGAGACCCATTGCCCTGAGTAACCCTGGGTGATGACCTACCCAGAGTTATGAAATCAGCCCGCACCTGCTCGGCTGTGAGACTCTTTTTCAAGGCACCTGGGAAGCAGGGGAGAAATTGGTTACAAAGGACAAATCAATTGATCAATCAGCAATAAGTATTTAATGGGCACAAGCTATCTGACATTGTTGTTAGGTGCTCGAGTTGGTTCCCACTCATAGCAACCATATGTACACAACAAAATGCAACACTGCTGGTCCTGCTCCATTCCTCACAATATTTGCTGTGCTTGAACCCATAGTTGCAGCCACTGTGTCAGTCCATCTTATTGAGGGTCTTCCCCATTCTTGCTGACCTTCTACTTTATCAAGTATGAAATCCTTCTCCAAAGACTGCTTCAAACATGACCAAAGTACAAGAGATGAAGTCTGTCCTTTTTCACTTATAAGGAGCGTTCCAGCTGTACTTCCTTCAAGACAGATTTGTTTGTATTTCTAGCATTCCATGGTCCATTCAATGTTCTTCGCCAACACCACAATTCAAATGTATCAATTCTTCGGTCTTCCTTTTTCATTGTGCAGCTCTCACATGCATACGAAAGTATTGAAAATACCCACAGCATATCTTAGTTTCAAAGTAACACCTTTGCTGTTAAACACTTTAAAAGAGGTCTTTCGCATTGAAACAATTAGTCCGAGGAACCAGGAGACCATGTGATCCTCAGCCTATATGACCATGAGACCAGAATAACTAGACGGTGCCTGGCTACCACTGTCAACCACTCAGAAAGGGATCAGTGCAGGGGATCCTGGATAGAGTGGGAGAACAATGTGGAACACAACTCAAAATCATAAAAAAGACCAGGTTTACTTGTCTGATAGAGGCTGGTGAGACCTCCAAGACTACAGCCCCTACGAACCATTCAGGTTCTGAATTGAACACATTCCCGTGGCTTCCAGCCCAACAACAGACAGGCATATAGGATGAACATTTATATCAGGTAGATATACCCCTTAGAATCATGGGAGAACAGAAGGGCAGAAGGTATTTGCACAGGGAGATAGCTCAGGGGGAAGGAATGCACAAGAAAGAAGGACACAGGGAAGAGGTAACTACAGTCAATGTCATAAAACAAAATATGTATGAACTGCTGTATGGAAAATGAATTTGCTCTGTAAACTTTCGCCCAAATCACAAAAAAATTAAATTAAATTAAAAAAATAAAAAAAAGGTCTTGTGCAGATTTGCCCAATGCAATACATAGTTTGATTTAGATGACAAGATATACCAAAGACCCAGCTAGCTCCACAAAGATCAATATAGATAGGGGGAAAAGGCACAACTGGAGAACTAGCAGCACATTTTGTTTATTGTACAATATAATTATTTACCCTCCAGAAAGTGTGGAAGAAGTTGGAGACAAGAGAAAAAAACTTCATGACTTGGAGATGCGGGTACTTGATCTGAGGAATCAGTAAGGGTACAGAGGAGCAAAGGGTGGGGGGCAGGGCTCAATGTCAACTGGGCATAGGAGCAACAGCCCAGAACCTACTGTGCAACATGGAGCTACTAAAACATAGGTACTTATTTAAACTGTAAATAATTAAAATTAACCAATGTCACTAAATGGTACATGTAGAAACTGTTGAACTGATGTATGTTTTGCTGTGGATATTCTGCACAACAATATAAATAAAGTTTTTTAAAAATGAGGGAAAATGCCTTTTTTTTTTCTTTTGTGTATGTGGGTCTGTGGTTGGAATCATGGAGGGTGACAAAAGAGAAGAAAAAGAAGGTGCCTGCTGTGCCCGAAACTCTTAAGAAAAAGCGAAGGAATTTTGCAGAACTAAAGATCAAGCGCCTGAGAAAGAAGTTTGCCCAAAAGATGCTACAAAAGGCAAGGAGGAAGCTTATCTATGAAAAAGCTAAGCACTATCACAAGGAATATAGGCAGATGTACAGAACTGAAATTCGAATGGCTAGAATGGCAAGGAAAGCTGGCAACTTCTATGTACCCGGAGAACCCAAACTGGCATTTGTTATCAGGATCAGAGGTATCAATGGTGTGAGCCCAAAGGTTCGAAAGGTGTTGCAGCTTCTTCGCCTTCGCCAGATCTTCAATGGCACCTTTGTTAAGCTCAACAAGGCTTCAATTAACATGCTGAGGATTGTGGAACCATATATTGCATGGGGGTATCCAAATCTGAAGTCAGTGAATGAACTGATCTACAAGCGTGGTTATGGCAAAATCAGTAAGAAGCGAATTGCCCTGACAGATAACACTTTGATTGCACGCTCTCTTGGTAAATACGGCATCATCTGCATGGAGGATCTGATTCATGAGATCTATACCGTTGGAAAACGCTTCAAAGAAGCAAACAACTTCCTGTGGCCCTTCAAATTATCTTCTCCAAGAGGCGGAATGAAGAAAAAGACCACCCATTTTGTAGAAGGTGGAGATGCTGGCAACAGGGAAGACCAGATCAACAGGCTTATTAGAAGGATGAACTAGGTGTCTACCATGACTATTTTTGTAATCTGGTCAGTTAATAAAATACAAACTGCTTTCAAATTGAAAAAAAAAAAAGAGGGAAAATAATAAACTTTTTGATTGACTCAAAAAGTAAAAGATGTTTTCTAATTAAAAACATTAAATAAAATTAAATATGCCATTCCTTAGTGGCACTGGCCACATTTCAAGTGCTCAATAGCCCCATGGGACCCTTGGCCATTGGAACAGACAGTGTAGGTTATAGGCCATTCCATCTCTATAGGAAATTCTATCAGACAGTGTTGTTCTAGGAAATCTGCTTTCATGTGTACACCAAAATGGGCTAAACAGCTTGGTCCCTACAATTCACAAGTCACTTCCTGAGAGCCATCAAACCTTCCCCTCAGAAGCTCTGAGAACATACCCGTGGGGGCTGCTTTGTTCTGCTTGCAGGCTCCAATTCCTGAAAACAAAGTGTTGCCAGAAATCTGGACTTTTCTCCATGTTTAACCTACAGGTTGCAGCCTAGAAGCACAATTTGGCAGCCACTTTAAAAGTTTCCACTTCTTAGTTCTCAATCAGATGACTAATTAGAGAATATAAAGACACTGACCACATTAAGGGAGGACCTTGAACCTATATGCCTAAATCCAAGTCCCTATCCCATCCCCACCCCCCTCCAGAGAAACAATCCTAAAGCCTGTTTTCCCCAGTAAAATAAACCATGTAAACAAAGGGAGGAAATCTTTTATCTCCAAAATCAGACTGAGCAAGGAAACCACAGGGAAATAAAAAAGGCAAGACCCTAGGAAACCTTGGCCATAAAGGCCCCCAAGAAAGGGCTACTTTCTAGCCAATCCAATTAAATCATAACTACCATGTGTACAACTCCTGAGTTTATATGCAGTTAAAAAACCAGATACATGCACATATATATGTAAAAAAAAAATAAAAACATACTTTTTTTTATGGTCCCAACATACTGTGAAGTAGGAGTTATTAGTGTAACCTTTTATTTACAAGGAAACTGAAAATCAGAAAGATTAAACTTTCTGGGGAGAAAATCTGGCAAATGAATATAGTCACCCAACAGAGATGCCCTAAAAGGTACACTGACTGAGATCCATCTGGGAAGTTCTTTAACAATGCTGGGAGTAGGGATCAAAAAAAAATTAAGGAGAGGTGAGATGGTTCAGGTGCATCTACACAGTAGCCTGAGTTCCAAGGTGATTTTTCAAGACTTAACAGACCGAGAGGCGGGGCAAGATGGC